GTTGGCCTCATAAAATGAGTTAGGAAATATTGCCTCTTTTTCAGTTTTTGGAGGAGTTTGAGGGGACAGGTATTAAATCCTCTTTGAATGTTTAGTAGAATTCACTAATAAAGCCATCTGGTCTTGGACTTTTGCTTTTGGGGAGGTTTTAGATGATGGTTTCAGTTTCCTTACTGTTGATTGGTCTATTTAGATTTTCCAGTTCTTCGTGATTCAGTCTAGGAAGGTTATATATTTCTAAAAACTTGTACATTTCTTTTAGGTTATTGAATTTGTTGGCATTTAATCTTTACAGTATTCATTGTATTTCTGTGGTATCCATCATAACTTCTCTTTCTGATTTTGTTTATTTGTGTCTTTTCTCTTTTTTCCTTAGTGACTCTAACCAGAGGTTTGTCAATTTAATAAATCTTTTCAAAAAACGAGCTCTTTGTTGGATTAACTTTTTCTATTATCTTTTTGTTTTCTATTTCATTTAATTCTGCTCTAATTTTTATTATTTCCTTCTGCTGGCTTTGGGTTCCATTTGTTCTTTTTTTTCAAGTTCTTTAAGATGTAATGTTAGGTTGTGATTTGTGATTTTTCTTGTTTTTTTCTTAAAAATTTTTAATAAAATGTTGCTAAATACAATATTATATTAGTTTCAGGTATACATCATAGTTATTCAACAGTACCCACTGGCCACTATATGTAGTTATTACCATATTATTGATTATATTCCCTATGCTTTACTTTTCATCCTCATGACTATTTTGTAACTACCAATTTGTACTTCTTAATCCCTTCACCTTCTTCACCCACCTGCTCCCATCTGCAAACCATAAAAATGTTTTCTGTATCTATGAGTTTGTTTTTGTTTTGTTTGTTTATTTATTTTGTTCTTTAGATTTCACTTATAAGTGAAATCATGTGACATTTGTATTTTGCTGTCTGACTTACTACACTCAGTACAATACTCTCTAGGTCCATCCGTGTTGTCGCAGATAGCAAGATTTCATTTTTTTTAAAGGCTGAGTGATATTCCATTGCGTATATGTACTACCTCTTCTTTATCCATTCAAGGACACCCACGTTGCCTTCATATCTTGCATAATGTAAATATTGCAATGAACATATGGATGAGCACATCCCCTTGAATTATCGTTTTGGGTTTCTTCAGATAAATACCCAGAAGTGAAAGTACTGGGTCCTTCTTTGTCTGTTGTTATAGTCTTTGTTTTTAAGTCTGTTTTGTTGGGTATAAGTATTGCTATCTCAGCTCTTTTGTTGTTGTTTTGTTTGTTTGTTTGTTTCCATTTTCATGAAATATCTTTCTCCATCCTTTTACTTTCAGTCTGTGTGTGGCTTTCAATCTGAAATGAGACTCTTGTAGGTAGCATATGTAAGGATTTTGTTTTCTTATCCAGTTAGGCCCTCCCCCATCTTTTGATTGGAGCATTTAATCCATTTACATTGAATATATATATATATATATATAT